CTCTCCAGGTGGGCACTGCCCTTTCCTCTGCCTCATAGCCACCCCAACCCCCTCCCCTGTCACCTATGAACTCTCCTTCTGAGCGCCTCTGCCCCGCCCACCCAGCCAGAGCTGCTCAGCTGTCCCCACCTCCCCCCTGCCTACACAGTGGCGGATCATCGTGGGGGCCACCAAATGCATCCCCAAGTCAGAGCTGCCGGAGGAGGTGGAAGTGGCCGCCCTGGCCAGCACACGGCTCTGGACTCACCCCAGCGACCTGACCATTGCCTTGTCGGCCAGCACCCCGCTTTACCCGCCCGGCCGCATCATCCACGTGGTCCACAACCACCCAGCAGAGCAGTGCTGGTAGGTGCTGCCTGCAACTCGGTCAGCTGGGAGGTGGCAGCAGCCAGGGCAGGGCCTGCATCATCCAGGGGACTGGGGGATGAGCCAGCCTGCGCTCAGTCGCCCCTCAGGGCTAGGGCCAGAGGCGGAGAGACGAGTCCAGGGCACCCAGAGCTGGTGGGGTGGGGTAGGGAGTTGCCCCAGACTTGGGCCCTGGAAATAGAACAAGACTAGCCCAGAACAGCACCCCAGACTCCTCTCGTGACAGGCCCAGCCTTTGTCCCCAGTCAGCTTTGCCCTGGTGTTCCCTAGGGCATCTCTCCCCACTTGTGGTCCATTTAAAAGTGCATGCCCCGAAGGGGTCACTCTAAGGCCCTGGCCAGCTGTACCTCCATTGTCACTTGGCATCACCTCTGGGATAGGTGGCAGACAGCTCTGAGCAAGGGCTGGGGTCCAGAAGAGAGAAAAAGATGGGCAAGTACGTCTCCCCATCATGCTCGTTCAGAGGGTAGGCCTGGGACCCTCCTCCAGCAAGCACTGCCTCCCCTGACAAAAGGCTTGTGAGCCGGGCCCTGCCCAGGGTGGAACAGGCATGGCCCAGGCCACAAGTATGGAGATGGCTGTGTAGGGACCATGGCTGAGGTTCAAGATCAGCCTTTCTCAGCCTCTGTTCCTGGCCGGACTGGGAAGTAGGGGTGGGGGTGGGAGCTGAGGGTGAAGCAAGAGCAAGGAGCCCAGGGGCGCAGCCCAGCTGGCCACACTGGACAGGGGGCCTCCAAGTTCACCTCACTCCTGCTAAGCCAGGGCAAAGCAGAGCCAGGGCCTGGGGGCCAAGGCCAAGCTGCTACCCACCCTCGGCTTCCCTCCGGCCCCCGTGTTTCCTCAGCTGCTGTGAGCAGGAGGAGCCCACGTACTTTGCCATCTGGGGTGACAACAAGGCCTTCAACGAGGTGATCATCTCCCCCGCCATGCTGCACGAGCACCTCCCCTACGTGGTCATGGAGGGCCTCAACAAGGTGAGCCCCTGGGCAGCCCTGGGCTCTAACGCCTCGTTAGAGCCCGCGGTGCCTTGCGAGCTGCATTTCTGTCCCCATATTATAGGCAAGGGTGCGGACGCTCAGAAAAGTGAGCCAGAGTCCCCGGCCGGGCCGCAGGGGGGCCAGAGAGCCCACTCATGCCCCGGCCTCCACACCCCTGCTCCGTCCGCATCACCACGTGGCCCCGTGGTCAGGAGGAGTTTAGGAGACTCCCAGGGACCTGTGTCCAAGGCAGGCTGAACTCAGAGGGCCTGAAGGCCACCTGGCACTTGACAGATGCACGGCCAGGCAGGGCCAGTCTTTGGCCTTCCTGGAGAAGGGGTCTGCGGGGAGGAGAGTGGGGCCCAGCTGACCCATGCAGCTCTGTTTGGTCTGAGAGGCCTGGCCTGCCGCCCTGCCCCTGCACATAGCTGTTACCCTCCATGTGGCTGTCACCCTCCATGTGGCTGTCACCCCTCCACCACCAGCAGCTTCCGCGTCCTGTCCCCAGGTGCTGGAGAACTACAACAAGGGCAAGACAGCCTTGCTCTCTGCTGCCAAGGTCATGGTGAGCCCCACCGAGGTGGACTTGACTCCCGAGCTCATCTTCCAGCAGCAGCCACTGCCCACGGGGCCCTCCATGCCTGCTGGCCTTGCCCTGGAGCTGCCCACTGCAGACCACCGAAACAGCAGCGTCAGGTGAGCCCTGCCCACCCCAGTGTGCAGTGGCCAGGCGTGTCGTTTCAGAGCCCGTAGGCTCGCACACGTGCGTTCTGCGCGTAGGCTGAACCCGTATGTTCTTGCGGCTCTGCATACATGTGCAGGAGAGGTGAACTTGCCCCCTCTGCTCTGCTCCCGTTGACCCCCAGCCTACCATCAGTGAAAGCTACATGGGCCAGTGGGCATCTAGACACACGGCCCCCAGGTCACAAACACATATAGTCACTTACACCCATTTAGACCCAAACAGATGGACACCCCTGCCCTTCCATGCAGGCACACGTGTATTTAAGTATTTGTATTGAAACTGACACATGCAGACGTGCCTCACAAACAGCTCTAAGTGCAGACAGTCCCCTATAGACATATGCCAAGACGGAGGCCACAGGAAATGCACAAGGACCCGCTTGGATAGGCAGCCCTGCGTGTGGATGAATGAATGCGCCTGTGCCCAATCCAGCCGCACAGACACATCGCCGGCCGACATGCAGACAGCTCGCATGTACACTGTATACATAAACCGTGCTCCCAGACACACACCCCACGTTCACAGCACTGTTTGCGGGTATCAGGCTCTTAAGGGGGATCCTCCTGCCTCTCCAGGACCCTTCCCACCCAGGAAGGGCACAGATCTGGCCAAGAGACTGCTGAAGAGAGCCCCACTGGGGCACCTAGACACCTCTCCCTATCTTTTGTACGTTTCCTGTGGCAGCTGCATGACCAGATGAGGGAGCCAGTGTCCATTCTCGCCACAGTAACTGCTGCACCCCGACTCCCAGGCCTCTCATTCACTCCCAGCAGGTGGTGTGCAGCTGAGAGACACCAGGGCCCCCCATCCAGCAGAGGGCTATACTCTATGAGGAGGTGGGAGGAACCCCATTGTGAGGAAGGGAGGTCTAGAGCTCTGGGAGGGGCACGGAGGGCTGCTGGTCCTGCTTCCTCTCTCCCCTGACCTGTGGCCTCATGAGTGACCTGGGCAGCCGGTCTCTCTAGGCCTCGGTCTCCCATGGCCGCAGTGACAGGACATGGGTGAGGGTGCTCCGGCAGTGCTCCTGGGGTCCTAGTGCCCCCAGCAGAGCCTCAGGCCCTCGAGGCCCCCACCCTGGCTCAACCCAGCATCGGCCCATGGTCTTCTGTCTTGGGTTCATGGAAGTCATTTTTTTTAAAATTAAGGGTCCCTGCCCCAAATAGTTCAACAACCGCTCAATGAACTTTCCCCTCCTCACCCTCCCCAAGTTCCCTCCAGCCAGGGAGCTGGGGTGGGGTTCAATCTCAGCACCCCTTCTGAGTCTCACCACCCTCACCCCCTGCCCTGCCCTCTGCAGGAGCAAGTCCCAGTCTGAGATGAGCCTGGAGGGCTTCTCGGAGGGGCAGCTGCTGTCCCCAGTGGCTGCGGCTGCGGCAGCCCGCCAGGACCCCGTGGAGCTGCTGCTGCTGTCCACCCAGGAGCGGCTGGCGGCAGAGCTGCAGGCACGGCGGGCTCCCCTGGCCACCATGGAGAGCCTCTCGGACACGGAGTCACTGTACAGCTTCGACTCCCGCCGATCCTCAGGCTTCCGCAGCATCCGCGGCTCGCCCAGCCTCCACGCGGTGCTGGAACGCGATGAGGGCCACCTCTTCTACATCGACCCCGCCATCCCCGAGGAGAACCCTTCCCTGAGCTCACGCACCGAGCTGCTGGCCGCGGACAGCCTGTCCAAGCACTCGCAGGACACCCAGCCCCTGGAGGCGGCCCTGGGCAGTGGGGGCGCCACCCCCGAGCGGCCCCCCAGTGCTGCGGCCACTGACCAGGAGGAAGAGGGGGGTGGTGGGGTGGCCCCCCGTGGAGAGCTGGCGCTGCACAACGGGCGCCTGGGCGACTCGCCCAGCCCTCAGGTGCTGGAGTTTGCCGAATTCATCGACAGCCTCTTCAACCTGGACAGCAAAAGCAGCTCCCTCCAAGACCTCTACTGCATGGTGGTGCCCGAGAGCCCCACCAGCGACTACGCTGAGGGCCCCAAGTCCCCCAGCCAGCAAGAGATCCTGCTCCGAGCCCAGTTCGAGCCCAATCTGGTGCCCAAGCCCCCAAGGCGCTTTGCCGGCTCTGCCGACCCCTCCTCCGGCATCTCGCTGTCACCCTCCTTCCCACTCAGCTCCTCGGGCGAGCTCATGGACCTGACGCCCACGGGGCTCAGCAGCCAGGAGTGCCTGGCGGTGGACAAGATCCGGACTTCTACCCCCACTGGCCACGGGGCCAGCCCCACCAAGCAGGATGACCTGGTCATCTCAGCTCGCTAGCACCCAGAGGGGCTGCCGGCAGAGGCCTAGGCCAGAGCAGGTGGCCCCTCAGGCTCCAGGTGGCTACTCACAGAGCCGGGCAGCTTGGAGGAGAGGCCCCCGGGGTCCAATTTAGCCTCAGGCATGGGGCACTGCTGCTGAGCTGGGGGTCCGTATCCCTACCTCAGCTTAGGACCCCTCAGAGCCAAGGCAGCTGGGATCCGGGCCCTCCAGATAGGGGAGGAGCAGGGAGTGGGGAGGAGCCTGGGGCAGCCTGCCAGCCTGACCCCAGGGGCATCCTGGCACCCCCTGTTCCAGGACAGGCCGTGGGCATACTGACTCCCCATCACTGCCCTCTGGCTGCTCTCCCAGGGCTGAGATGGAGAGCGGCCCCCTCCCCATACATTCTCATCTGCGGTCTAGGCTGGCCTCTGCCCTGGCCACTCCCCAGACCTGGTGCCTGCTAGCCAGCCCTTGGGGTGATCCCCCCACCCCCAAGGTGGCCCGCAGTGCTGTTTGTGTTTACAGAAGCTGCTGGGCTGGGCTCAGGTTGTGTCCTGGGCTTGCAAGCCCCCAGCCACAATCATGTGTTCAGTAGCCTCCCTCTGAGCAGGGCAGGGGCCTGGAGGGGCCTGGAGGAGGGTGGGGTCAGGACCGCCCCTTCTCTGCTTGGTGTCCTTCATGCTGACCCCTCTGTCAATGGGTTATAAGCTCCCAAGCCTGTCCCGCCTGCCCATTACTTCCAGGCTCACCTTCTATTCCCGGGGATCCTGGCCATTCAAAGGGTGGACGGCACAGATGTGAGCACCCCAGGCTGCAGAGTCAGTGCCCGGGGAGGAAGAGGGTACCCGAATCCCACTTCCTTCGAGGGCCCCATGGAACCACTCCCTGTCACCTCCCCCATGCCTAGGCAGCCCCAGGCCCTGGGAACTGAAACCAGATACCTCCACTCCCCTCACTGCCCTCCTGGTTGGCCTGGGCTCTCACCTGGGCCTTCTTCCCTCCCACCCACAATGTTACGTCGACAGGAAGTGGGGCCAAGAGTAGGGCATTGTGGGACCTGGCTAGAGACCCCCTGCTCTCTACTGCACGGGGTGTGGAGGGTCAGGCTCTGGACTGTCCTGGCTTAGCCAGAGGTTTCCGCATCCCCCACTTGAAGGGTTCCTTCGCCGCTGGGCTGGGGGAGCAGTGGGGAGGTGGCGGCCAGGCCATTCTCCAGAGGCCAAGGCGGGGAGGCCGTGCATGCTCACGTGGGGGTGGGGGGAGTGTGCATGTGCATGAGTGTGTGCCGATCCTGAGGAAGGGGCTGCTGGGGCACCCACCCCACCTGACCTGACCTGCTTGCCTACTGCCCACCCACCCCCGCCCACTCCCCAACCTGCCGGGAAGACAGCTAGTGAGCGTGATGCGGCTGGAGGTCAGAGGAGGAGCTCGGTTTTGGACATGGCCTGTCCTCCTTGTCTCCACCTGCTGCTCTGACCCCCGGTTTGGAAAACTCATATGCTGACTGTCCGCTTGTGCCTTCATCTCCTCGGAGGCATGCTCCCCAACTTCAAACCTGACCACGGCCTCCCCGCCGTCTAGGCTTCCCTGACCAAGACCCCTCATTTCACGATCACTAATATCTGGGGCCTGCGCCCTGAGCCTGACCCCTAACATAACTGGGACTGCCCCAGACCCCTCCCTGGGACCCCTGCCCACCCTGACAGATGGGAGCTGGGCCTCTGTGACTCCCACTCCTCACCAGGCTCCAGAATGGTGCCCCAGCTGAGGGCCCCGCTGCTGGCATAGCCTGGGCCCAGCACAGAAGCAAGACGAATCAGTGGCTCTTAGAATTAAAAAAAAAGACAAATCATAAATCAGAGTAACGTTCCAATGAGCACCCCCGCCAATAGCAGGGAGATTTGGGGGTCTAGCCTTTTAATTCCTCCTTTGCCAAGGTGGGCTTGGGGCCTCTAAGGGGGTGTGGCACCCACCCATGCCCAGGACTGAGCCATCAGGGACAGACTCCCCACCCCAAAGCTGCAGCCACACAAGGTTACAGGCTTGGGGCTGGGGCAGACTCAGACTCAGCCCTGGATGCCCCAGGGTCAGCCCACCCCTAACCTGCCCTCTCCCCACCCCGGCCCCGAAGGGCAGGCCTACTGCGTGTCTCTCCCTTCCGCCCACACCACACTTGGGGGGTCTGAGCCACCCCCCTCTGCCCGGCTCGGCTCAGCCCGACCCCTTCTCTGTTCCCTAGACCTGCAGCACAAGCTCTCCCAGTCATACGCTGGCCTGTCCTCCCAGGGGCCCGGGTGACCTCCATATGCAATCGGTAGAGAGCAGCCAGGCCCCACAGACACTCGTGCACTCTACATGCCATTCTCCCCTAACTCTTTTTGTACTTAATGTATGAAAGATCCAAACTAATATTGCTGTAAAAAGGAGAGACAAATTAATATAGCTTATTCTATAAATATATCTGTATATAAAGGTTTCTGTATATTGTATAGAGCTGTGTATAAACTGGATGTAGAAGCATGCTGGCTGCCTCGAGTGACCTCTCTTCCCAGCGGCTGGGGGTGAAGGGCTTGCTGCAGAGGTCAGCGACAGAGGTGGGAGGGGACCTCTGAGACTGGCTCTCACTGCTGTCAAAGCCCTGACACAGGACCACACTTTGAGTTGCAGAGAGAGGCCAGAAGACCCTTGGAACCCCATTTGAATGGGGGCCCTGCCTGTGTCAGATCCGTGCCGGGGGATCTGTATGACCTCATTAGGGCCTTGGAAGATGTGGCTTGTTTGCGCCTTCTTCCTCCCTGAGGGGTCTGGGGCTCAGAGAGGGTAAGTAAGTTGCCCAAGACCGCAGAGCCAGCGCTTGGGCTGCCAGGCTGATCTGACAGTGCCCACCCCGCCACCCAATAATGAGAGCTAGGGCAGGGAGGGAGGATTCCACGGAAGCCCCCAGCTGGGTCACACAGAAATGCAGGGTCCACTGGAAGTCTTTGCCAAGGGCTTCCCTAGGAGTATGCAAATGCCTGGCCAGGCCCAGGGCACCCCAGGGACCCCAGCCCAGCCTAGTCCCAAGGCAGCGAGGCTTGGGGAGCAGCTGTAGGGCCAGTGTGGGCAGGCTGCTGGGCCTCCTGTCAGCCCCATGCTGAGACGTGCCATCTCCACACACCAGGTGGCGCTGTTCCTCCAGCCAGTCCCACTGTGACCTGCAGTCTGGCCTAGGCACTGACCCAGCTGAGCTTTGACCTGACCTTAACCTTCCCCTTCTCTACACTTCTACCTTCCCACCCCTGAGTCCAGAGTGACCCTACTCGGTGAGGGTTTGGGAAAGGGGATAGAACAGCGCCCATCTTTACCCAAGGCCTCTCTGAACAGAAGAGGAAACTGAGGCTGGATAAGGGTGAAGACCTACTCAAGGTCACTCCCATGCCGGGAACAGATCTAGGCCCAGAATCCAGGCCTCCCAGCCTAGGACTCTGGCCTCCATCCTCACCTAATGGTTTTCAAAGGCTCTTCCCACCCTAGAGTCTCATTCGATTTGCAAATTATTCTATCCAATTAATGGAGCAGAGGAAACAACAGAGCCAGAGAGGTTCTGTGACTTGCCAAAAGTCACACAGCCAAGTGTGGAATGGAAGGGCTCTCATGGGGGGCGATTTTGGGAAGAGCTCGAGTGGCGTTCTGCTTCCCAGTGCCCATTCGGGACCCCGTTCTGTGACTTGCCAAAAGTCACACAGCCAAGTGTAGAATGGGAAGGGCTCTCATGGGGGGCGATTTTGGGAGGAGCTCGAGTGGCGTTCTGCTTCCCAGTGCTCATTCGGGACCCGTGGATGGTCCCTCCATCTCAGCTGGGAGGGAGGTGGGAGAGAAGTCACCCCGAAGGGTCCCCAGACCCAGTTATGTCCCCTCACCCTAGTCAAGGGAAGCCGTGTCCCCAGTCTCATGGACTCGCCATCCTTTGGGTTTCTTCTGTGAAAAGGGTGGATGCCAGGGCTGCAGGGGCCCTCGGAAAGCCAGGGTAGGGACGCCTGGCCAGTGGGTCGAGCCCCACCCTCTCCTGGGCTGGCCTCCAGCCAGCTACTCATAACCATAAGTCCCTGCCCCACTTGATGATATAAGGCTTCCTGGGGCTCCCTCCCAGCCCCAGCCTCTGCCCGGCGTGGGTGAGTTGGGGGTAGCAACCCTCGAGTCTGAGACATTTCAGCTAACCCTTTCCCCCAAGCCCAGAGATGAAGATGTCTGGGGACAGTTGCTCCTTTGCTCAGTGGCCTCAGGAAGTCAGGGGAGGGGGTGGGGCCTGAACCCCCTAACTAGGCCAGCTCTCACGAGATTAACAGGATGCTCCCTCCCACTTCAAGGTCACCCAAAGACTTAATAATCCAGCCTGAAGAGTTGGGGTGTTGGAGATAAAATACACGTATCTCTCCCCA